TGTAGCCACGTTTATTGGTCGTTGGACACTTTTAGTCCTCCGTCAATGCAACCGTTTGTTGACCGTAAAATTGAAAGGCAATGTTGTCTTTTTATGTGTTCTTCTTCTAATCATATTGAGTTAATTCCCTTTTTACTTATTTTTTTTAAAAAGGAAATTCCTTTTATACTTCTAAACAACAACTCCAGACGATGTTCGAAGACCACCACCATCAACCACCGCATCGACCTTGACCGCAGCCAACTCCACCGTCTCCTTCACTTCCGGTTTCCTCCCATCGCCTTCTCCTTCTCGACTCATCCTTCGACACTCTGCCATAGCCCATAGCATGACCAAATCGGCCACAACTAGAGCAATATACCGGCACTTTCTCCACCTCAATCCTCTGCCAATATCCATTCAATTCCCCTTCACCTCCAACAATTTCCACCCCTGCAATTCAGAGATCCAACATGCAATTCCCCTTCTAGACGCAGCACCGATCGTAGCTCCGCCCTAAAAAATTCCAAAGAAGCCAAAATTCAGACGATTCTTTGACCAATCGCAAACATCTGGCTGATCGCAAGCCAATCTGGGTTGTTGGGGTCTTCGAGGATTCACATCGTTGATTTTGGTATCGTGCAGGGCATTCAATGGGCGACTGTTTTACAGTCTTTAGCAACCTGACCCGCCAGAAAACACAAATACATTCGGATTCTAGCATTCTCGCTCCGGTGCTAGGCAAGTCTCCGACGACCTCGCTTTTAGCAACTGGGAACCATTCTGACCCCTATTCCGAAGGTTTTGCGCGACTTTGTGAATGTTTTGGATCTAAATTTCGAGTTCGATCCCCTTCTTACCCATATTCAGGAGTTAAACGAGTCCAGTTTACAGGTCGACTCGGATGATGCTCTCGCCGTCAATTTCATGCTTCAGCTATACAATTTATTGGATGAGACGACGGCCACTGTGGAGGCCGCACTCAAGCTCGCAAAATCGCTGAATCCTAGATTTGTAACATTGGGGGAATACGAATTGAACCTGAATCGGGTCGGGTTCCTAGAGAGGTTCACGGATGCACTCAATTGCTACTCGTTAGTTTTCGTGACTCGCCGAAGAGGCTGCAAGTGGAGAGGCTGTTGCTTGGCAGGAGAATCACTGTGATGGTGGGCCCGGCGGAGCATGAGACCAAAAGAGAGTGTACTAAGATAAAGAACAGTGGAAATCCTTGGCCTGGAACGATGAACCTCCCCTCACTGTTTCTTTAGAAGAAGACCACATAAAAAGACAACTTTGTCCTTCAATTTGACGGTCAAGAGACGGATTCACTGACGAAGGACCAAAAGTTTGCAACGACCAATAGTAGTGGCTACAAATTGACAATTTTTATTATGTAGGATGAAAACTGTCCACGCCACAATAAATCTAGGACCAAAAATGGAATTAACTCTAAATTGTTAATTGCAAGTACAGAATATGTTAACTACAAACACTTGGATATGCTAGTTAACATGTTGTTTTTTGTAGTTAATAGATTTCGTACCAAAAGTTTATGTTATGTAGTTATCATGTTATGTATATTTAATTACCATGTGATATGTTTTCAATTTGTTTACAGATACATAAATAGTTAAGTGCAAGTAATGTGTCAATAGTAAAATCTAAAAATTATTTTTGCATCAGGGTCCACAAATCACAATGCAAGGTACATAAACAAAAAAATTTCACTTTTAGTCCATGCACTGTACATGTATCAAATTCAGTCATTGACTATTAATATTTTCAAATTAGGTACATGACTATGTAATTTGTATCACATTTGATATTTGATTATTAATATTTTCAAATTAGGTGCATGACTTTGTAATTCGTATCACATTTGGTCCTGTCGTCCAATTTTCTAGTCAAGTTTCCGGCCAATGAAAAAATAATATGTTCTAATTAAAAGAGTATTTTTTACCAAATAATTGCCGGAAAAATTATTTTTATCATTAAAATTCAGACAATAGTTGATCGGTAAATTTGACGGTAGAATCAAATGTAATATAAATTACAAAGTCATGTACGTAATTTAAAACTATTAATAGTCACCGACAAAATGTGGTACAAATTACATAATATACACATAATTTGAAAATATTAATAGTGAATGACCAAGTTTGATATACGTAGAATAGTGAAAGGAACAAAAAATCGTACAGAAACGGTCAACTACCACTATAATCACCCAAAAAAAAAAAAAGGAAAAGAAAATGACAAAAATATAGAGGAGCAAAAAATAAGGAAGAAGCTCCGAGAAGCAGAGCTGCAAATACCACACTCTCCGCTTCACTCACATTATCGTCATCTAATCTTCATGCTCGCCGCCTGTGTGGCAGCCATGGCCGCGCACACTATCCTCTCTTCCGCCACCGTTGCCTCCCACTCCCTCCTCTTCCCCGTCTCCGCCCCTAACGCTTCTCCGCTCCACTCCTCGTTCCCCGGCGTGTCCCTCAAAGTCAACAATAAACCCGCTCACCAATCGCTCGCCCTCCGCGCCGTCTCCGCCCCCAAGCCCCTCACCGTCGTCGCCTCCTCCAAGAAGGCTGTCGCTGTACTCAAAGGCACCTCCAATGTCGAAGGCGTCGTCACTCTCACACAAGACGGCGATGGTCTGTCCTCTCCGTGCTCTGAACTCGCTTGATTTTTGCTTTTTTAAATCAATCATCGACGAAAATAACAAGCGTTTTCATTTTAGGTTTTGATTTTTTAAGATTTTAGCTGAATTTGTGTATGCAGTATACTTCTATGTGTTTCAGATATGAAAATTTCGGATGCAATTAAATTTATTTTATTGTTTTCTGCTTGAATAAATCGATTTTCGCCCAGGAACTGTAAGTATTGTATTGAAGGTTTTGACATTGGAGCTGTTAGTTAAATTTGTATATGTAGTAGGGTTTTCTGCCAAAACATAATGCATTTCCCCCTAAATGTAGGTCTCTTAGATATGAAATTTGTGGCCATAGTAATAACATTTATGCATTGTCTCTTGTTTCAAATAGGTCCTACCACTGTGAAAGTTCGTATAACTGGCCTTACTCCTGGACCTCATGGATTTCATCTTGTGAGTATTTAGTTAAAACATAAGAGCTAGTGTGTTAATTTTCTGTTATTGTATTGAATTGATTGTATCTAAAACGTATGGGCGGATATTTATAATCTCTTGTACTGTTTTGGGCTGTGTTGTAGCATGAGTATGGTGATACGACAAATGGGTGCATTTCTACAGGTTTGATTTGAAATGTTGGTTAATTTGTTTACTATGTATAATTTGGATTTATTTTTAAGATCATGGCTTCCATTGTGATGTTGTGTGGTGCTATGTTAAACTATGTGATTGTTTCAAAATAGGACCACATTTTAATCCCAATGGGTTGACACATGGAGCTCCTGAGGATGAAGTCCGTCATGCGGGTGACCTGGGAAACATATTGGCTAATGCCGAAGGTAATTGATGCATTTTTTCAACATTTATTAGTGTAGTAGTTCCGCTTCTTAGTGTTGGGTGAATGATGAATTTTAGCACCTCTGATTTTGCTTGATCCTGCACAGGTGTTGCAGAAGCAACAATCGTCGATAGCCAGGTACTTCACCCAACCTTACTCATTATGTGGTTATCCACAATGATTACAGATTTGTGTCATTTGTAGTTGGGATATGCTAAGATTTCCTCTATTAAACGTGCAGATACCACTAAGTGGTCCAAACTCGGTTGTTGGAAGAGCTTTAGTGGTACATGAACTTGAGGATGACCTTGGAAAGGGTAAGGTTCCGGCATCTGATATGAACCTTATTGATTAATGGTTCTGCAAGTGTAACCAGTTAGTCTTAGTTGACTACAAAATCCTTACATATTTGGGAGCTATTCTCTACCAGTTTGAAGCTTATTAGTGTCATTTGCTTCTTCAGCCCTGAAAAGTATAACAAAACCTTAGTTGGATCTAGACTCAATTTTATCATTTTGCAGGTGGCCATGAGCTTAGTCTCTCTACTGGAAATGCAGGTGGACGGTTGGCATGCGGTACGTAAATATGTGTTTCCACTTAGAATCTATCAGCTCTCTCTTTCCCTTTATCATAATTTCTTGGGAATCTTGGCTTAGTACATAGTTTTTGTTCCTAGAAGCGAGCTAAATGCAAGCAATTTGCATGATTATGCAATGATCAATCCTGTTGTGACCTTCCCTCTGCCATCTTTAGACTGCTATTCTCCATCCATTTTTATTAACCTGCTTCTTTTTATTGAAAATATTTTATAATGTCTCGATTTGTCAATTCCTATAATCATCTTATGTGTGACCACTTTTTACCTGGTGGGGGATGTATGCATATTTCATGTAAAAGTATTGATTGCACACTGAATGCATTGATTGACCAAGATGCAGAATATATTCTTTTCAATGTTAACTCCATCGACTGTTTTTCCACTGATACAATACATTATGAACATGTTATCCAGGTGTGGTCGGTTTGACTCCAATATAATTCAAGAATTGGAGCTGGCCCTTTCTTCGTTTAGTGTTACTTCTTCACTTGTTTTGCATAGAGTTTACATGGCGAGGTCATCTCAGATATTCACAGCCTAATAAATTTGGATCTGTATGTATACTTGAATGAGTTTAGCATGGCTTTGCAAGTAATGCTTCTTCAATGTATTGTTATTGAATTTTATTCACCTCTTCAATACCAAAATGACCCTGCTTACATTTATGCTTCCAACTGTTTTGTATGTATTGTCAACTGTTCTTTCCTGCATCCTGTCATAAATAATATGATCAAACTCACACTTGTAGGGTGTAAAATTTTACATTTTCCCCTCTTGTACTGGTATTATTATGCATGATATGTTTGGTTGCATAGGTATCATGGAAACAAGTGTTGTCAGTATTCAGTACAATCGTTATTGGTTATTGATTGAACGTTATATCTTCTCCCTTCTCCCAAATACTGCTTATTGAATCAGTGAGCTAAGCTTGGTTGAGCTTGAATGTTATATATTGTTTTACATAAATCATTTGTTTTGTATGATGATAACACTATGTTGGTTCCACTTGTAGCCCCTAAATCCTAATAGTGAGGTGAGATTCAATGAACAAATTGAATAGGGCTGCTTGACCATGCTAAACTAGCTTACCTTGAAGATATTTAAAGAACCTAATAAGTTGTAATTAAATGCATGATGGCTTGTCTAAATTCATGGTATGTCAAAAGTGATGAGTTCCTGCAACTTGTTCTGCAGTGCCTTAATTACTTGCATTGCAACCAAATTGTTGTCCCCATACACAGTTTCTGAAACTTGCTTTTTCTTTCTTTCTGCTCTGCCTTTCTACTACTTGTTTATAATAATTAGTGCCACTGCTTTTGCCAAAACAACAAGAAAGATGAAGGCTGAGTTTCAAGATTTTTCCAATCAGATGTTTCTGTGCAAAGGGCGGCGTACTAAACGTCCCCGGGCATCGCCCCCGGTTGGGGTAGCCGTTGATTCTTGCCCTTCCGGGGATGGTGGTGGTGGTTGTTATTTGTCGCTTGTTCACTCTCCGGAAAGTTCTTGTAGTCAGATGTCCATGGCAACCCAAGAAGACGAGAACATGGCGCACTGCCTGATTCTCTTGGCAAGAAGTGGTTGTCCTAAGCAAGATGCAGGTAATGATGTTAAGGCAGAGAGAATTAGTTGCCAGAAATCCTCTGACACGGTGACTTCCACCGCAGCCGCCACCACCACCACAAGTGTTTACGAGTGCAAGACATGCAATCGGAAATTCCGGTCATTTCAAGCTCTTGGTGGCCATAGAGCAAGTCACAGTAAGCCCAAACTCATACCGGAGGATCACAAAAAATCCACACCGCTCGATCACCACCACCACCACCAAGAAATTCAAGACAAAACACACGAGAAATCGAACAAGACTAAGATTCACGAGTGTTTGATTTGCGGGTCGCTGTTCTTTTCGGGCCAAGCCTTGGGTGGCCACATGAGAAGACACAGGCCACTACACATCAACACCACTATTACAATGAAGGCTCCCATGGATGATGATGATCAAGAGAAGCCTAAACCTGTTTTCACACTTGATCTTAACTTACCTGCTCCAGATGACGATGAAGCTGATGACGAAGATACCACCATGTTTGAATTCTCAGACAAGCAACAAAGCTCTGCTTTCTCCACCTCGGCTATGGTGGATTGTCATTACTAAACATAAGTATCTATGTTCGCGATTCACACCAAGTACAACTAAAACAGCTTATTACTAAACATAAGTATCTATGTACGCGATTCGCACCGAGTACAACTAAAACAGCTTTACAACCGGGATGCATTTTTTTGTTGTACCTTAGAATTTTCGATAAAATATGAGAATGTAAGTACATAGTTGGCCTGTGCTAAGGGCTACCTAATACAAACAAGTCCATGTGAAGCAATGGGCATGACAGTAGCATAGTGTATTACTTGTAATCAAACTATACAAACATCATGTGAAGCAATGTGACTATGATTCTAATGTTTTGTAATGGTAATTTAATGATCATGTATATATACGTGTGTAAAATCTAAATCTGTAACATATACATACTATATATGCGTGTTTTACACGTGGAAGCTACTCAACTTATATATGCTGCTACAGTTCTAAATCCTATTCCAGTCGAATTTCTTTGACTATTTAATCTTCGATTTCAGCATGTACATAATCAACGAAAACAAAATTTTTCTGGAGTTCAAATAAGGTGTATGCCAAGCCAGCACTTACAATCGCCAGGGCGCCCAAAATAATTCGGTATCTGATGTCAGAAGGGATTCCGGCTGTTGCAGAACAGCAAACGACCACACCAATCAAAAACTTTTGCAATGTCTCAAATGTTTTATATGCGCTTTTACAAGACGAGCATTTCAGTGTATGCTGCTCATATCTGTCCAGCATCTGTAACACACAAACAAAGTTGGAATGGTTCTTAAACTATAAGACACGTAAAATGCAACAACTGCAAAACTAAGGTAACAACCGCAAATATTGTCCACTATCTAACACGAGAACCTAATTTGGACGGTTTATGGTTTGGCAGTTCTTATGTTTAGATGAAGTAAATCGGTATAATTTGATCTACAAAAGCGATTGGATTTGGCAAGAGGAAAAGTTGGTGTATGCCACCATATATTGATACCTGACGTTTGGACAAGACGGTAGATGGCAACGGTAGTTGCTCAACGCTACCGAACCACTCTGGCTGACCATTTCCATGTCGCCTAAGCCAATTCCGAAACGCCAAGACAAAGCGGTCAGCTTGTGTAGGCGTGAACGTGAGTTTTGTATACTCTTTATTAATATCTGCAGAGGACTCCCTCGACTTTGAAAGGAAGATCTTTTCTTGACCTTGAAGCACAATCATATCTCCATCGTACACCTTATTTGAAGTCCAATGCTCTTGCCATCTCGGAAATACCTGTCGTCAGCAATAAGAAAAATACACGTCATTCAGCTTCAGTATGTACATAAAACCCGCAATTTCTGGTTTGGTGATGCTATGGCCTATGGGAAAAAGCGGGCATCTGTTCTCCCTATGTATGTCAAAAGCAGCAAAGAAATTCTAAAAGTTCAGATAAAACTAAAAAGAAGAAAAAAAGAAATCTGAGATACGGAAATATCCTTAATAAAAGGACACTTTTAGCTATCCACATTTCTTCTTACTTAGTTCTTATCATAAAATCTTATTGAATGTCGCAAAAAAGGCTCTGCAGAGTCATCTGTGATACTTTTTGAGAAATTTTTATTCATCCAAGCATCAACAATCCAGGATAATGTAATTCTTTTCATTTTAGACGACAGAAAGTTACTTTAGGAAGTTGATATGGCTGTCTGAACTAGGGATGAGCATCGATCGGTTAAAGTCAGTTTGACTGACCGAAAACCGAATAACCAATAGCTATTTTTAAATCTTCATAACCGACCAAAAATATAGTTCGGTTTTCGATCGGTTATGTCGGTCACCAAAAAACCAAAGGTCATAACCCATCTAAAACATTCCATTTCAAATATTCAAATTCAAATTAAACCAATTATGCTACTCTAAATAACCTATATATAGTATATATTTTATCGGTTATTCGGTGACCACGGTTTTTGAACGTCCATAACCGACTAATAATCAATATCAATATTTTTTAAAAAAACTAGTAACTGACAGCCAACCGAAAACCAAAATTTTCAGTCAATTCAGCTATCAGTTATAGGTTTTGTCGTTTTCCGGTAATTATGCTCACTCCTAGTATGAACAGAATGTTTCTCAATATATTCATCCAATACCACGAAAGCTATGGAATCACAATAGAAGTAAGCCCAATATACCTGCCACCAGGCAGGCCCTGGCATTGTGAGCTGGAAGAAGTTCCGAGCACTACAGACAATTGAGCGGGTCTTCCCCGGTGCCATGGGTACATTGAAGGAGCAAATCCAAATTACCCATTTTTGATCTCCAAGAACTGGAAGCTTTGTGTCAATCTCTATTCTGAAAAAGACGAGGAAATCACCCGTATTAGGAGTTTAAGACACACACGCACACATACATAACGGAATGACTTGGTAAACACAAAAATCTTAACAGAATTTTGATGGCACATACAATTAGAACTATACGTTAAAACTCAACCCGTCAACCCAAAGTTATAAGTAAAATTCACTAAAGAAATACTAAAAACAAAGGAAAGAAACAGATAATGACGGGAGCTCATCTGCTTACACAACGATAAAACTTACTTATTCATCGCATAGCAAGGAGCAATAAACTTGGCACTAATTTTAGGGTTATCACTATTTGCACCAGCATAACCCCAAGGTCCTGAAGACTCCATTTTGAATGGCAACGGCTTGGCTCTATCTCTCCTACCAGTAACCTGTAAATTTCAGAGAGTTGGAGAAACCATGAATACTTATGCAGATTATAGGGAAAACAAAGAGTTCCTATAATGCGTTTAGTAACTGGAGAAATGAGTCATTTTTCTTTAAAAAATAGAAAATTGGAGAAATGAAAAACTGAAAAAACAGAAGTTTACAAAACCGCGAAATTTGAAATGCCACACTAGAAGTTTACAAAGCCATAATTCTTTTTTACGGGCCAGCAAAACTTCATTTGAAATGTCATACTAGAAGTTTCTTTATGTTTATTAATACCAACTAAAACAACACGAACATTCTATGTTGAGCTTGAGCAGGCATGCCATTATTTTTTAAAGTATAACTTAAGCTACATATGTATTCTTGGATTTTATATCTATTATGTCTCACTGAACCAGAATCTGTATCCATATGACTACTATTTTCTATTTGACGCTTATCATACCTTGTGATGTGCAAAATCAATGTGAGAAGGGTCTGACACATTCTCCATCAAAGTATCATACCCATAATACAGATCACGCTGGATCGTCACTGTTGCAAACTCAGGCTTATCAAATTCTTCAGGTAACCTAGTAACCAAATCAAAAAATAATTATAAAAAAAAAAAAAAAAAAAAAAAACTCAGGCAAAGTCATTAAGAAACTACAAAGAAGTGTATAGCCACATCATGAATAGTCTGTCCACTAATTACTATAATGGGCAAAATCTTGTATGAGACTGTCTCATGGATCAAGTGTTGCATAATTATTATGTTTTCTATCATAAGTATTACTCCGTACAATTTCCTAATAAGTAACTTTCAGCCTCCAATATTACATTCTGATTTCAAAATATTACATTTTCATCAAAAGTATCACATTTTTCCTCATAAGTATTACACTTTCTCTCATAAATAACAATCAACCAATTTATCTATGATTAGTATCACACCTTTTTTTTCATAACTGTTCAATCCCTAAATATTAAATTTTGATTTAAAAGTATTACACTCCTTGATTAGTAAGGGATAATTAGTATGATAAGTATTACATTTCCATTCTAACGAGACGGTTTCACAAGAGACTCACCCAATATAATAACGGTGTGGAATAATTTTGTTAATAAATAAATCTAACACAAATAAAGCAAGCAAACATACATGGGGGGCTTGGTGGCAGCAGCTCGCTCCCACCCATTCTCGTCAGGCCAGACAAAGAGAAGTCCCTGAGACACCATAGCCGGAAGCTTGGTGGCGCATGCCCTGGGCGACTTAACGGCACGCGCCTCCGGTCCCTCCGAGGCAGCCTGCGGGATCCTCGTACAAGACCCACACCCATCAAACGACCACCCATGGTACGAGCACTGCAAATGCCCGTTTTCGTCTAATCTCCCTTCCTACCATAATACATAGGTTAGGCAAATCAGCAAAAAGTTAAATAAAATTTTCAGAATAAGTTATGGAAAACAAAAATTGGGAATGGGCAGTAAAATTACAGATAAAGGAGCGAGGCGGTGGGGGCATTTGTCGTCCATGGCGACCCACTGGGAGGTGGATTTATCGAACCAGAGAACGATCTCGCGGTTAAGGAGCTGAAAAGGGGTGGGCAGAGCCGGGTCGAGATCTTCCACTAGGGAAACCGGGTACCAATGGTCCCGCCAATTGAACTTAGACGATGAACCATCTTCGCCCATCTGGCTCACAAGTTCATCATCCCTTTCATTCGATCCCAAAATTGGGTCCTCGGATGCCTGAGGCGGGGTGGTGGGCGGCGCCGCCACGCGAAGAGGGGTCACAGCGCTCCTCCTCCTCCTTCTCCCTCGGAAACACAACGCGTTACTGGGGTGCGGAGAGAGCGAGGAGCGAAGGGGAGAGAGAACTGAGAGAGTGTGGAGAGTGGGGGAGAGCGAAGAAGCCATGGGAATGGGAATACAGATTGGAAGGAAAGCGGTGAGAGGAGGGATTATTATTATTATTATGCAGAATTCAATTCATTCGGCGAAGCGGTGATGGAGTGTGGAATGGAAGTGAAAGAAGGCTTTGCGTGCAAGGTAGAAAGTTGAAGTGTTGAACAGCGATGCAGAAGTTGATCTGTGTGCTCTTTCGCTGGTCCACACACAGTGCAGACGGATTCTGTGTGTGAAGTGGGAACGCCTCTGGGCTGCCATCTGTTACGTCTCCCCTCTGGAACTTACCGCAGTTAGAGCGGTGACAAGTAACATCAAAGATTATAGTGGAAACTTGGACAACACCATCATGTTAATTAGATAGTTGATTTAGTAATTACAAATTTATCATTTTGATTTTTAATTGGAACAATTTATTCATCTTCTTAATTTGAAACAGTCAATTACAAAAACAAAACAAAAAAAAAAAAAAATTAAATTGAGGTATGATTGTCTTGATAATTTATCGCCTTTCTCTTTGGCGGAGAAGGTGAACGGTCGCCAGAGTTTGGTCGGAAGTTTGCTGGAACTCTCG